CAATTTTGGATTGGCAGAGAAACTTACCTCTAGTCCGGGTGCTCCTAATTCTCTTCGTCTACTCCGATCTCTAAATAATCACCTTTTTAATTAGGATGATATAATTAGTCACTTACTCTTTAATAATTATTTTACTCGATTTTTGCCTTTTATTTCATTTTTCGAATTCACTAATTCAATTATTTTATTATCCGCGTTAATCACTTTTTATTAATTATATTACCTTATTAATTCGGTCGTTAATTAAAATACTTAAATTCTAAAATATACGAATATAATTAATTACAATATCAAATTTCTAATTTAATAATCATCTTTTTATTTACTCAACTCCTAAAGCATTTGGTATGTCTTAATATTATATCCGAATTATTTTTAATCTAACTAATCAAATATCGAAATTAGTTTATATTAACATTATTAGCATTAATAAATTCGAATTAACTAACATATTCTGATTTTATTAATTACTTATACACTTAATATTTCAAAGTCCGTAATTATGTAAATTTTATATTACTCTACCTTAATTAGTCCAATAATTAGTGAAAACAAAATCTACCAATTTATTTAATCTAATTATGATACCAAGTCCAAATAATTATTTTAATATAATATTCTTTAATGAATATTAAACTATAAATTCATTTCATTATTTAATTACTTAATTAGCTTTATATGGTCCAATTTAATAAAATAGCCAAGAGTCGACTTTATAAATTAATAACCGTCCATAACTATATTTTGGTTCTACATTTGGCTTAGGTTGTCCAAATATTTATTTTATAATTCATTTTCCTTAATTATTCATTTATTTTCGTATATCAAATAACCGGTCCATTTACAATTAAATATACTAATATTAATTTTTATTATTTATAAATGGTCCATAATGTCTTAGTTAGTCTTTTATTTATCCTAGTTTGCTCCAATATTTATTTCATAATTAATTTCGCCATTTACTTATTTATTTACTAATTGTGTACAAATTGGCCCAATTACCATTAAATCAATTAAAAATAGCTAAAAATATTATTTTACAATTCTGGTTGGTCCGAATATGTATAATTACACCAGGTATTTAATTTATTATTTTCCAGATTTTATTTATTTCATTTACTATTTTATTTTTAATTTTTATTTCAACTGGGCCGAACTGGCCCAAATTCTTTTAATTTTTCTGGCCCAAAGATTAGGCCCACAAGACAGACCCCAGCCTTGGCTGGGTCGTCTTCTTCGTTGAATCGCCGGAAAACGAAAAAAAAACGGGGAAGAGGCTTACCTCGTCGGAAACGGCCAACGGGGTAGCGGTGCACTCCTCTCGAGACGGCGAAGGTCGGTGAAGGGTTGGCGGCGGCGACGGCGGTTCCTGCTCCTCCGTTTCCTGTCGGGAAAGTTTTCCCCGGCGAAACTCCGGCGGGCTGTTTCTCCCTCGTTTCACGACCGTTTTCAACGATTCTTCCTCCAATGGATTCGTCTCACGAAGGGGAAGGTCTGGGAAGTGTTTTCAGGGCTCGGTTTTGAGTATAACGATGGGTTGGAAATTTCAGGTATGTATATATATATATATATATGTATATATATATATGTATATATATATATGTATATATATGTGTGTATATATATATATATATATATATATATATGTATGTATGTATATAACGATGGGTTGGAAATTTCAGGTATATATATATATATATATATATATATATATATATATATGTATGTATGTATGTATGTATGTATGTATGTATGTATGTATGTATGTATGTATGTATGTATGTATGTATGTATGTATGTATGTATGTATGTATGTATGTGTGTGTGTATGTATTTTCCGACGGGAATTTTTGGGATGAAAGGCCAGGCAGTTGATTCTGCTATTTATAGAGATGGCTGGGTGTATAAGCTTCTGATTCAGATCCTAAAATCCTGCTCCTATGATTTTTTTTTTCTTTTGAGCTTTACATACGTTGGAGGTCATCCTCCATAATTTTTTTTTTAAATTTTCCTTGGTTTTGTAACTGATGCGTAGGGTTTAAAGAAAAAAAATCTTGTTTCTTTAACGTATAGTATTATACGTATAGTATTATACGTAGGTATAGTTTATATATTTAGGAGTAAAAATGGAAATTGTGTTTTGTAAAAAAAAATATAGCTTTTACTTCTTATGTCATATGTATAATTGGTACTTGATATAAAATATTTCTTCTTTTATCGGACCATTTTTATCTGACTAAAAATGTCACAATTGTTAATTTTCTGTCTGGTTCACTTGTTTCATAAAATGTTGTTCCTATTACTGAAATACTTTTATCTGACTAAGACGTCATAAATTTTGAAAATTTTATCTGATTAGAATGTTACAACTGTTGAATTTTTGTCTGACTCAATTAATAATTAAAAATGTCATTTCCGTAATATTTTATGATTTATCTGGCTAAAAATTATTTTTATTTTTATATAATTTTTTTTTTGGAGTGTCACACAAGTACATCACTTACAATCAAATCCTTAGATTATGGTCTTATCTCTCCCCGAATACCACAACTTAAATCCTCCGGGATTAATCTCGTGTGCTTTCTCTCCAACCCATTTAGTTTCCTGCACACACATAATGGTGATATTCCTTCTCCTCATAACCTCAACTACCTCGGAAGATTTGCCCGTAAGAGACCCAACATTCCATGTTCCAAAACGCAATCTAGCATTCCACCTTCTTTTCTTAGCCCCATCTCGGACCCCACCATGCCCTTGCATATTTGACATCATCCCCGAGCAATGAGATGACGCGCCGCTTCCGGGCGGCGACCTAGCAACCTTAGCATTCTTATCACCACACCCAGATCTATAAAGTGTAGCGCGCCCTTGCATATTTGACACCATCCCCAGGCGGAGGGATGACACGTCACTTACGGGTGACGACCTAACATTAGCGATATTCATATTTCGATTGCTCAATTACTTTACTAAAACAATTTATATGTTTTGTTTTTAATATTAAGGATCTATTTTTTTTTATTTATCTTTTTTTGCCAAAAAATCATTTTTTTTTGCCAAAAACTCATTTTGTTTTTTTCAAAAAAAGTGATTTTTTTATTTGACAGCAGGGGTTAACATAAATGGTGAATATTGTTTTTTTTAATATTAAGTCCATAAAAATGTTTTTAATTTTTTTTTTCCAAATTACATTTTTTTTTTGGGAAAACAATTTTTTTTGCATAACAATGATTCTTTTGTTTTCAAGAGTAGACTTTATGTTATGATGTAATTCTTAATATAGAAAATGTAACCCGCGTTGATTGAAAATCTAACTTTAGTGTATACAAAATGTAACTTGTTGAATCAAACTGAAATGTAACTCGCGTATAGAAAGATGTAACTCACGCACAAGAAGATGTAAATCGTGCATAAGAAGATGTAACTCCATATAATATTAAATCCCTAAATGTAATTATAGAAATTGTCTATAAACATAACTCACACATACGGAAAATGTATTATTCTCATTTTTTTTTCAAATTTAAATCGAAATAAAGAACCTTAATGACTACAAAACACAAAAACATATAAAAGAGAGAAGAAATATATTATAGAAAAAAGTATATGAGTATAAAAAATATTTTACAAAAAAAGTGTATAATAAATATAAAAAAGTATACAAAGTAAGAAATAGTGTATGAATATGAAACACAATATACTTATTTTATGTGGATTAATAAAATTTTGTATTAAATTGGTAAAGAAAAAAATTAATCCAGTTATAATTTAATTATATCAAGATAAAGATATGTAAAAAATCACAAATAATTAGATATAACTCGCACATACATGTAACTCGCGCATAAAAGTATGTAACTCGCGTATAAGAAGATGTAACTCACGCAGAACAAGATGTAACTCACGCATAATAACTTGTAACCGGAGTATAAGATGATGTAACTTCGTATATTATCAAATGTAACTCCAAGCTAGAATCAAAATAAACAAACTCAATATCTTAAAAACCTCTAATAACATATAAAAGTGATAAAAATATATTATAGAAAAATTGTATGCATATAAAAATATATTACAAAAAAATGTATGAATGTAAAAAAGATATTACAAAAAATAGTGGGGAGAACTATCAAATAAGACCTCGAACTTTCATAAAAAGTGCAAATAAGCCCTTTTACAGGAGGCTTTGTTCGGCTGTCGCTATTTGGGGCGGTTTCCGGTGGAATTTTTTGATGAAATTTTTTGAGCATATTCTTCATTAAGTCTAGTTTACCCATACCAAATTTCAGCTAAACATTCAATCTATAAGGAAGTCAAATGATTTTCTGAAAAATACTGCACTACCTAATTGCGCAGTTATCTTCAAAAATTCATTTGGCTACCTTCCCGATTGAATTTTTAGCTGAAATTTAGTATCATTAAACTAGACTTAATGAAGAAAATTCTCAAAAAATGTCATCAAAAAAGTATACCGGGAACCTCCCCAAATGGCGATGGCCGGACATAGCCTCCTATAAAAGGACTTATTTGCACTTTTTATGAAAGTTCAAGGGCTTATTTGGTAGTTCTCCCTAAAACCAAAAATAGTGTATGAATATGAAATGTAATGTACTTATTTTATTTAGATTATTAAAATTTTTGTTATGTATTGATAAAGAATTAAAAAATAGATTTAATTATAATTTAAATTGAAGATAAGGAAAAGTAAAACTACAATTAAAATTTTAATATTTTAATTTGATGGAAATGGAGAAGAATTACAGAAAACAAAAATAAGGAAAGAATAACAAAAGAAAAAGGAAGGAAGAAGCTCTAGTGAAGAAAAGAAAGGAACGTAACTATGTAAAAGTGAGATCGTACCATGCGGAAGGTGACTAATCCCACGGTATAATTTACTTTTGTTTATCGGTGTTGACCGATTTTCAGGTCGTTGACCTGGCTGATCCGTGAGATGTGGATTGACCCTGACCCAGTCCGGTTTTTACAATGAAACCCATCCTCAATAATAGATTTGTCTCAATCACCTGCGTGGTGGTCGGGCTAATAACGGGATGTTTTGTGTGACCAAAATTCCTGGTTAGCAGTTCAACGAACTGGGAATTCTTGTCATCCTCACGGCATCTCCAATTCTCCATCGCTCTTAATTGCATCTAACAGCGTTCCGTGGCAGTTGAGCGTTGACATAAAATGACAGCTAAAGCATTAACTTATCACAACTCCGGGATCTGCTTACCCACGCACCCGATTTCGTATTTCATTGCAGATATAAAACTCCCGATTGGCGCTTCTCCTTTTTCTCTGCTCATCTCAACTAAGCTGCCGTTCCAAGCAAGCTTTCTTCAATGGCGGGTGGAGTGTTTTCGGGCTTGAGACGCGCGTACCTCGCTCTTTACAATTGGGCCGTCTTCATCGGATGGCAAGTTCAATACTTCTATTCCTCCAGATCTGTATGGTTTCTATCGATTTTTCCTCCTTTCTATCAGAAACAATGAGTGATTAGGGTGATTGGGATATCAGGTTTCAGGTGTTTTATCTTTCTGTGAAGACTCTGAAAGAGTCTGGGCACGAAAATGTCTACCGAGCCGTAGAAAAGCCTCTGCTTCTAGCTCAAACTGCCGCGATATTGGAGGTACTCCTTATGCATTTTGAACTCTGTAGGTACTACAATGGAATGCTGAATACTAGTATTTCTTTAGTTTCTCTGCTCATGATCTTGAATTGAAAAAGTACTTAATTGATTGAATTCAATCTTTTAGTGTAATTAGGTCTAAGTGTACTGTGACCCAGCTGAGTGACTCCAATCAACTCTTATGTTTTTCATAGCCTAGCAAGTATTAAGAAATCTAGTGCAATTTATTTTATTGAGTTTTACTGTCTCAGTGATTTTTATGTGTTTATCTTCCCCTTTAGACACACCCATTGAGTGCAGTTAGCAGATTTAGGATAGTGCCTGTGTACTCGAATAATTTCAATTTTGACAAAATTAGTTTTCTTTGTGATCATTCTCGGCTCTAATGTTTATAAATCACTATGTGCACACATGTCGTTTTATTGTTACCTATTATTTTCAAACTTTTTATGCAATTCTGCTATAGAAAACTGACGTTTGGCTATTTTTGTCACAAAAATGGAACAGATACTTCATGGCTTAGTCGGTGAGTCCTCAAGTCAAAGCATCAACCTTTTTGATGAGAGAAAATTTCTAAGTCAATTAAAGATTGTTTTCCTGCTTTCCCTATATGCTAAATCCCCCCTTTATAGGACTGGTGAGATCTCCAATTTCAGCAACATTGCCGCAGATAGGCTCGAGAATATATGTTACTTGGGGGATTTTGTATAGCTTCCCTCAGGTGAAGATGATGTTTGACAGTTCGAGATTTCTCTTTAACTTTTGCATCATGTTATCCAAAAAGGTGGCACTAAAAGAATACTTTGCTGATTACAGGTCCAGACCCATGCCTTCGTTAGTTCTCTTGTCATTAGCTGGTCTATTACCGAGGTGAGTCTTATCTATCTTTAAGTCGCTTGGATCAATATTTTTTTAGCACCAGGCTCAAATGTAATTAACTTGTTTCAGATATGGTTCAAACCCCTTTTCAATTTTTCTAATTTTATTGTATAAACACTAATGAATCTAAATTTTTGTAAGAAAATATAATTAATACTTCGTAATAATCATATTTCACTTCTATTCGCATTTTCCATGGTAAGACTGAACTTAAGAAAGTAACTTTCCTTGATTTTTTTCTTTCCCTAGAATTTCCTAAAACCCTCAATGTGTCTAAATGGGAGGGATAATGCAAAAAGCAGGAACCGTTAAAAGATTTTTTTTGGATACACCGGAAAGGTTAAATGGATTTTTATGATACATATGTATTTATGTTACAGTGACTATAGAAATAATTCTTTCTTTCATCGCCTTCTTCACTGTATTAATTTTCACTTCATTTCCCGATCTCATGGTTGACTCATTGTAAAAAATTTATTACTGCTTGAACTTTAGATTATCCGATATTCATTCTTCGGCATAAAGGAGGCATTTGGATTTGCTCCTTCATGGTTGTTGTGGCTTAGGTACACATTGTTTGTATCAAATAGTTATACACTAGCCAGCAAAGGCATTTTCTGTTTGTTTTCTATCTTTATTATCATTATTCATTGTAGGTATAGCACCTTCATCTTGTTGTATCCAAGTGGCATCACAAGTGAAGTTGGTTTAATTTACAAAGCCCTTCCTTACATTAAGGTAAAGTTTAAGTTACATTCGTGTATTGGGTGAACCAGCGCCCTTAAGTTTTCAGTTTTGGTTTTTTTTACTCCAGGGGGTGTCTGGGGGAGGGGGTTTGGGGGCCTTGAGTAATCAGTGCTGAAACTCACTCCATTGAGTTTCGAACCCGAGACCTCCCGTAAGGGAGAGTGAGTCAGCGACCAGCTAGACTGGACCGTTTCCTCTCAGTTTTGGCTTTATATAAGTGTTATGATTAGTTCGTATAGTAAACCAAAAAATAGTCATAGTGGGTCATCATGTTGTCAGATTTCGAAACGTAAATCCCCGACACCTTTTCACGTGTTCATAATCTTTTTTTAGCTTTTAAGTAAAAGGAAAAGAACATATAGCGTCAAAGAACGAGCCATTAACTTTCAGTTCATCTTTACAAGAAGGCACCTATAAATTTCGATATTGAGAGAAATAAAAGGTAGAGATTCCAGCACTTTGATGTTTGTGTGCTTGTCATAATATGGAATGTAGCTTGCACAAGTTTTCTTGAGTATGACAATATTATTTGCAGGAATCTGGAAAGTATTCCTTATGGATGCCAAACAAATTAAACTTTTCATTTGACTACTACTACATGGCATTTGTTGTCATTGCCATCTATGCTCCAGGCAAGAGCTTTACACATACTTCTTCTTTACTGATTGGATTTATTACTGCTTGATCTGTACTCAATAACTGTTCATGTCGTTGAATTTTGCAGGCAGCCCTCACATGTACGGTTATATGCTTGGGCAAAGGAAGAAAGCACTTCGTAAAACAAAGCATGCATAACTTGTCCTACTCTTGATTTTGTGTCACAATGTGGTCTCTTGGAGTGTTTATGTGGATGGTTAGAGATGGACTGTAACTCACCTCTGATTTATCTTAAAATATTTGTAGTATCTCAAAAAACGTTGGCGAGATAATTGGTTTCATTTTCATGAGGATAAAATGGAAATTTATATCCTACACCCGGGTGTATGTGTACACCCGGTTATTTTGTAATTTTTAGCAACTTTAAGCCTTTGCTCTCTAATCTTCCTTCTCGTTGAATGACTTGAATCTGCATGTTCAAGTCGGGCATGGACCGGGCCTCGGCCGGTTCAAGCCGGGCTTTTTTTCCAGGATGTTGGGCCCGGAACCGGCCCGGGTTGATACCGGGTCTGGGCCAAAACCGGGCCGGTCCGGGCCTGATTCAATGTATTTTTTTTCTTTGTAATTAACCCCCGACCCCCCTCCCTCACCCCCACCCCCCAAAGCCCCCCAAAACACGCAGCCCTACTCAAGGAAAAGAAAATTTTTTGAAGAAACATAAAAAAAGGAACCGGGCTCGGCCTGGACCGCCCGGGCCGATTCATGAATTATAGGGCCCGAGCCTGGCTCGCCCAAACTGTCCAGATCGGGCTTAAGCCTGGAACTGCCCATCCCCACCCGGGCCGGTCTGGGCCTGCACAGTAGCGGGCTGGGCTGGTTCAGGGCCGGACCGGATTGGTTTGGGCCACCCCTACCTGCAGCTAGTGATGGATTCGGGCCAGGCCTAGGCCCGGTCGGGCCGCCGGTTCAAGAAAAGTGGGCCCGGGACCGGCCCGCGGGTTGGACGGGTCCGGTTCGGGCCGGTCCACCCGCCCGGGTCACGGGTCGGGTCCGGTTCGGGCCGGGCCGGTTATTTTTTTTTTATAATTTATATTTATAGTTTATAGTTTTATACGAGTATTAAAAACAAACTTCAATTGCATTTATTTGAAATGAAATAGGAACTACATATAAGAGATAAACATTTTGAAAATTGTAATCAATCGGAACTTCCTGCACCTCCCGATCCTTTGGCTTTGTCACATGACTTCATATGCTTGATTGCCATCTCGAATCCGCCTGAAGCCCCCATTATACATTTATTTTCGCACCATTTGCAAATTGCGTACCACATCCCGGTCTTCGGGTCCTTCTGCTTATCAAAATTATACTGTATAATGGCATTTTGATTTTCCATCTTAACTTCTTGGAGAAGAGAATATGAGAGTAGATATATAATATATTGGAGAATAAGAGAATTAGAGAGTAGAGAGATAAGAATAGGAAGAATTGGAGAAGAGATATGAAAAAATGTTTAAGATTAGGAGTATTTATAGGTTTTTTTTACCCCCCACCCCCCCCCACCACCCAACCCCCCGGACCCCCCCTTTACCCCACCCAACGGCTATATAGCCGTTTGGGTTGTCCCCAGCCCCACCCCCAACGGCTAGTAGGAGCCCAATTTTTTTTTTTTTTTTAAAAATTGGACCGGACCCGGGCCCGGGCCCGACCCGGCTGGGCCGGGTCACAAAAATGCTGAACCGAGCCCGCCCCGCCCTTCCCACCGGTTCGGGCCCATACCCGGTCCCGGACCGCCCGAACCGGGCCGGTCCTGGGCCGGTCCCAGGCCGGTCCCGGGCCCGCACAGTACCGGGCCGGGCCGGGTCACGGGCCGGGTGGCCCGAACCGAATCCATCCCTACCTGCAGCCATCCCCTTTTCTTTCTTTTCTTTTGCCGCAATTCTCATTCATGTTTGCTACTTTTTTTGATTTTTTCTTTACTTTTACCGCTAACTAGTTGGTTTTACTTTCTTTTGTTTTGTCTTTTTTCTTTACTTGTTTTGGTTTCTTTATTTGTTATTTACTTCTTTCTTTTTCTTTACATATTAATACTAAACACTTTAGAAATGAGTTTTACTTTAAACTCAAATGAGTAAATCGTCTAAAAAAATGAACATATACAAATGAGCTTTTGAATTTTTGGATAATCGTTTTGTAAATTATGTATGTTCATTTAGTATCTCTATTATGCTCATTTTTAAAATGTTTTAGCAATGCATATTTCAAAAGTCTCATATTACATTAGATTTATATAGATGTTGATTATAGACACGAGACCACAAATCATGATACTCAATCGCTTATTCTAATACTCAATAACGGAGGTTTGATGCTCACTGAAAATGTATTGAACTCTTGATGCTCAATGAACAAAACATACAATTTTCATATCAATGCTCATCTTGTAAGCTACATATGCTCATTTGTATAGGTTTGATGCTTATTAAAAATTCATTAATGCTTATTTAACAGAGATCGTGATTTTCATCAATCTCAATAGAAGAGGAGGTTGATGCTCAATGAAAATGTCATAATGTTCAACTAACAAAACAACTAACAAATTCATTAATTCTCATTTTGTAAGTTACATATACTCATCTGGTACTGGTCTTATGCTCATTTTATAAATGTCATATTAATGCGTTTATAAAAGTACTATTTTATGTTAGACTCCTAATACTCAACATAATAGATCTGATGCTCATTAAAAGTTAATAAATGCTCATGCACAAGAAACCACGACTTTCATCTCAATATATAGTGAAGGTTTGATGCCAAATTAAAATGATGTGATGTTCAACTAACAAACTTTATGATTTTTATATCAATGTGCACTTCGTAAGTTATGTATGCTCATTTGGTATTGATGTTTTGCTAATTTTTAAAATGTCATACCAATTAATATTTCAAAAGTATCATATTACATTAGACTCGCATATTGAAATTAATAGGAGTGGATTATAGATATAATTTAATACGAGTAAGTTTTTATAAAACAAAAAAATAAGAAAAAGAATAAGAATTAGAAGATATGACACAGAGATCGTGACACTCATTGTTAGCCTCATAATAGTCAATACAATAGGTCATATGCTCACTAAAAGTACAATATTGCTCATTTAGCGGGAGCCGTGGTTTTTCTCTAAAATTACAAAATGCCACCAAAAAAATTAGGTTGTTTTAATTAAATGGACTGTCTTTCTGATTCGTTGGATTCATTAAATATTATTGAAATTGGGTTGTTAAAATTGGGCTGAAGTTTAAACAAATTACAAATAAACTTTGATGTACGGTTCCCATCCGTACACCCGGGTGTACAATATAGAAACTGGGATAAAATTGGGCTTAAATGGCAAAATGATCCGAATATGTGAGGATTTTGTCCGAATGGAATGGATTATAAAAAACGTATTGAAGATGTATGTTTAAAAGTTAAAAGGATGAAGAGACTAATCTAAAGACATGGGATATCGGTAAACTCTTTATGGAACATTTTCCTTATATTAAATTATCTTAGTTTTTATTAGTCAATTAAAATTTATCATTAGTAGAAAGAGAAATTTTGACTTTTCACTCTATTTTATTAATCAAATCGAACTTTACACCCTATTTTGAAACATTTAATTTATGCATCCTAGCAGTAACAAATTTGTTAGTTAACGTTAAATAAAATTTTAAGAGAAAATATATACAACCCATAAAACACAGAGGCTAATACTTGCATACAAAGCATTCAAAGGAGAGTACAAAAGATACTACGCAACCTCGAATACATAAAAGTTTTTAGTTGCACGGTTGCACCAACGGTAAGATAAAACACACACAATTTTGCTTTGGGTACACACTTATCATACACACACATACACACTATAAATAGCCTAAAAATTACCATTTTTTAACCCTCTCCCCTACCACACGTGCGAAACAACCCCACCCTCCCTCCTCCATTCCTGCTTCGTGCTCTTTCTTCTTCCCGTAGCAGCACAACGCCCATGTTTCTTTCTTTGTTCTTGTCTTCAAAATCAATGGATTTTGGTGGTATTGTGAACGAAACCATCATTGATACTACCGTGGACGACTTTTGGGCTGATTAGGATCAAACGATCGGTGGTTCTCATGTTGAAGGACAAATTCCGGTGGCGGCGGAAGTTGACGGTGAATCGGCGGCGGCCACCATGGACGACGTCCCTGAGCTTGGTATGAGTTCGTTTTGATGTTTGATCGTCTATGTATTTGATTTCATTTGCTTTAAAGTAAATATATGTGTTTGTTCTTCACAGACAAATGATTGTATTTGTGTAATGTTTATGTGAATTGTATAATATGTCTGTGTGTACGTTTCAGTTGTCTGAGTGTTATTATATAACTGTGAAGTGTATTTAATGTTGTCTGTGTAAATAAAGTTTTAAATTTACTTATGTCTGTACGTACATGTACTTCTATTTGAAATGTTTGTGTGTAAATATAATTGTGTCTATGTGTATATATACTTCTGTCTGTGCGTAAATAGACCACTGCCTCTATGTTTAAATATACTTCTGTCTATGCATGTTGACATTCACACATTCTTTGTTCGTTGAAATACATGAATGTTGGTTAGATGGAGAAATTCAGAAAAATGAGAGTGATGTTGGTTCTATAAAAGCTCCGGATGTTGGTGTGGAATTTGATAGCAAAGAAGCGGTGTATGATTTTAACAAGACATATGGGAAGCATTTAGGGTTTCCCGTAAGAACTAGGAGTACCACCAAACACAAAATGGGGTGGATATAGTTGAAGTGTTACTGGAGAGTTCTCATGCCGGTAGTAGATCTAGTATGTCAAAGATATGATAGTTTGAAACCAGCACCTGAAGACAAGTTTTAGAACTGGGTAAGATCTTTCCAACAAGATATTAAACGCTTTCAACGGAACAAAATAGAGCAAGATATGATCGCATCAAATTCTACACGAGTTCGGAGTGAAATCAGAAATATTTGTGAATATATGGTTAATCTGTAACTTTTAATTAATGCATTGTAAATGAAGTTGGAACAATAGATTTATAGAACCAAATTATCTTTCCAACAAGATATAATACGCTCTAAACAAAAGAACACACAGCAAGATATGAGTGTCACAAATACTTAGCCTTTTCTCTATGATTTAGCGTTTTCTGCGTAAATAGAGCACTTTTAGCATAAATACAGTGTATTTTAGTAATTAGGAATAATCCCTTGATATTTTGAAACCAGTGCCTGAAGACAAGTTTTAGAACTCGGTAAGATCTTTCCAATGAGATATTAAACGTTTTTAACGGAACAAAATAGAGCAAGATATGATCGCATCAAATTCTACACGAGTTCGGAGTGAAATCAAAAACATTTGTGAATATATGGTTAATCTGTAACTTTTCATTAATGCATTGTAAATGAAGTTGGAACAATAGC